CTAGAAAAATGTTTTCATTTGTCACACTTCTGACATGATTAGATCAGAAATTTGAATATGAATATACAAGATCCCAAACAAATGGGATCACCAATCACTATTATGGTGACTTCAAAACAATTACAGTAGTGGACAAGTACATTTCTGACAGTGGCACAGTTAAAGAAACTTTATAATGTGAGTTCACAGTAAAACAAGAGCAGTAAGTTACTGTGATGTTAGCATCATTCTGCTGTTCATTCACAGTCATTTGAAAGAAAATGACCCAGCATGCATTGATTTCACAGTAAATGTCTGACTACAGTAAAACTAGCCTAATACTCTTTAATCGCGTAAATTCCTGGCAATTCTTAACAGTGTGGACTTTCAAAACATCTTATTTTGTCTTCCACGGGAGAAAGAAAGTCATACAGGTTTTGATGTAAATAATGATAATTTTTGGGTCATCATTTAATATTAACCACTATAGAATACATTTTAAAATAATAATAATATCTTTGTAAGAGTCCAAAACATTAATTTATAAATGACCAATCATGGTTCTAATGCCTCATGAAAGCTTACTTTTTGTTTCTGTTTGTTCTTTGGATCTTAGAACAAACGTTTAGTGTAGTTGTTTCATCAGACAATTTTATGACTGTAAATTCATTTGAAATTCAGGCCAAAATAGTCCAAGCTTGAGTGCCTGCATGTCAGTGGCCTTATTCTGACAGTAAGAAGAAAGACTATTTGGAGATGTTAGTTGTTCTTTAATCATGCTCATTTCTTTACTTTAACACATAAAGGAACGTTAACCACTTACCGTATCTTTTGTTGTTAGTGTCATTGACTGTGTGTCCAATCAAACTAATGGTTCAAAACATTGTGCAGGAAAGTTAGAGGCAGTATGTTTGTCAATGCATGTTAAAACTTCTCCATGGACAAAAACAGATTTAAGATGTTCATCTCTTCATCAATTTGCTGAAAAGATAATTGATGTAAATCAGTGTGTCTCAAACCTGGTCCTCAGCACCCCCCAACACTGCACATTTTGTGTGTCTCCCTTATCTGACACCCATTTCAGGTCCTGGAGTTTCTTTTAATGAGCTAATGAGTTGAATCAGGTGTGTTTGATTAGGGAGACACCCAAAATGTGCAGTGCTGGGGGGCGCCCAGGACCAGGGTTGAGAAACGCTGATGTAAATGAACAGGTATTTAAAGTAAACGCTTGTTTCATTCGGAGAGCTTAATGAAGCACCTGCTAAAATAGCTTTACTTTAACACACCATACGTGCAATGCTAAAATGTGTCCATTATAATCTAAATTAAAAAGCGTTCTACCTTGACTATAAAAAAAAAATCCAACAAATGCGCCAGTCATAGGCTATTAGAGAAAGAACATACATTCCATTCACTCTCAGAAATAAAGGTACAAAAGCTGTCACTGGGGTGGTACCTTTTATTAATATGTACCTTTATCCGCTCTTTAGGTTCAAAGGTGTACCTTTTGAAAAGGTACTGCCCCAATGACAGCTTTTGTACTTTTTATTTGAACAAACGTTACCCAACAAAAATATCACAACATTGTGATTTAAGACACTTTTTGTGTTCGAGCAAACACGCATTTGGTGTAACTGGACTTTTGGCTCAAAGCCTCTTTTGCTGAGGTTACTGAGATATAGACCTTAGAAACAACAACAACAACAACAACAACCATGGTCTCCTGTATAAATCAGGCTATGAAGAAAAACAATATTTGGAAGGATATACCAATAAAGCAATGAGACTGAGCTGTCCAGTAATAAAGGCCTCTGTTGGTCTAACTGAATCCAACTGCTGTTTGTAACAAAATACAAATATAAAATAACTTAATGGGATTAAAAACTGAACACAACAACCAGTTTCGGTCACTGGAAGTCATTAATACTCTCAACCAGAACATACCATGATAATGATGACGGGTAAACATTTCATTAAACCTTAATTCAGGTCATATTTACCATTCAGGCATTGCTTTTAGAGAGAGAGAGAGCACATGAATATGCCACATTAAATGTATGGTAATTGTGGATATAACAAGTTTATAAATATACGTAAATGCACTAGGAAAAGCAATGGCATCAGCTACTGTGTTCACATTTAATCTAGGCATTAACAGAGTAAAGCGATGGAAGAACTGTAACAACATTCAAAAAGATTCAAGCATTCAAAATCTTCTTTTAATTTGTATAAGTACTCCATAAACATTATTACAAAACTCAGCAAGTTACCAATATTACATTTCACCATACAGGCTTGTTCACAAATATTTAAAACCTTTGCAACAGATACAACATAAAATAATACAAGAATAATTTACATGAAAATCTATAAAACAGCGAATAGTTCACAATTTTTGTCTGTACTTGTTTTTTGTTTTTTTTTGCCTATAAGTGTTTTCCACGATAGCACAACACTCTCACAACAAGATAAGTTTCCTCTTACAAAACTTGCAACAAAATGTAGTCTTTTTTTATTTCTTTTCATTTTTTGTTTCTTAATATTTTGGTTTTTAAAACCAAAAACTTGTCATTATACATCCTTTTCACTGCCTACAGAGGCACAAAAAAGGTTACTCACACACACACACACACACACACACACACACACACGCACACGCACACACATACTAATACTTCACAGCACTTTCTAAGAAAAATATGCACTTACAAAATATCTTACAAATTGGCACAGAGAAAAATATACAATATTTCTGTGATGTCGAGAGTTAATTAAGAATCCCTCTGGTATCAACTCTAGACAATATTTATAAAGCTCAATAATTTCTCCAACAAAAAGGCAAAAGCAATTCCAATTAATGACAAAGAATTGTGTTGTGAAAACATCGAACAGAACCATCTATTGTACATTCATAAAGAGAGGAGTAGGGTTTCCATTCTTATAATCCTTGTCATCATTTCTGGGCGAATACAGTTACCCTCTTAGCACCAGTAGGAGGAGGCAGCTTAACAGTGGCACGTTGTAAAAAACTTGAAGTACATTCAGTTGACAACAGGCAGAAATGAGAGAAGGCAGGCTAGCCCATGTGCAGTTTCCTCATCAGCATCATCATCCTGCTGCTGCTAAACATGGCCGGCTGGAGGCAGAAGGGGACGGAGTGAAATCTTTCTAAGGTAAAAGCTATAGGTAAGGCATCACTTTACCTGAGATATCCTCCTAGAGCGACTCTTTTAAATCAAAGGTGTCATTTATTCATCTACGTGTGGTAAATGCCAATGGATTCAGTGATTTTCAAAGGACAAATTTGGTTTCAAAGGTTTTCCAGCTACAATGAATTAAGATGAAGTTTGTGACAAAACCTAGGGGGCACTAATGTGCCACTAATAAACCCTACACATGCACATTGGAAATACATGCCTCTACCTACATTTCTGCAAAATTCCAAAAACCTACCACTGTGTACGAATCGCTGCAGTTTCCAGTTGAAATGAACACTAGAGGCAGTAAAACTCAGACGACTTCGTACGTAATTTATTGCACAATATTATGTTATGACCTCAAAACGATTTTAACATGCTGCGAGATTTGAAAAATTACAATTTTGAACGTTTGCATCACAAATACAGCTTCATACGTATGATTTTCTAACCAAAGTAAGTTTGCTCGGTAGCTCACCCGATACGGCGTTGCACTTGTTTGGTGAAGCGCTCCGGTGTTAATCCTGTGAAACTAACGTTAGACAAAACAGCTCAAACCCACATAGAAATAAGTTAAATTAGCACAGTTACATCAGCGAATAAGTTTTTATATAATTTTTGCTTTCGTTAACACTATCGGGTAGGTTTGGTTCGGGAACATGATAAAGCATTAACCTTTAAGCTACACTATTTGGACATTTGAATTCTGATATGTACCTGAAGCAACGTAATAAAAACGGTACAATATGTGCCTGTACCAATGTAATAAAAACATGGCCATGGTCACATACCGAGCAAGCATTTTAGCGCCACTCACTGGACATTTCACTTTCAAACTGCGGCGAAACATGGAATAAGGTACATAATATTGGCATTGCAGAAACAGCACATATTTCCAATGAGCCTGGGTTGAAGAAAATTAATGAACAATGAACAAAATATAATGTTGTTGTCAGATGTAATTGTTCGCACAGGATACTACTTGACTATTTATGGCAAACAGGAAGGGAAATGTGTAAAAGTGGGCTAAAGCAAAAGAGACAGTCTTTAGTTTCTTAACCATCAAGAATACTCCATTCAACAAATACGCAAAATATAAAAAATTATGTTCACAGTTCCTGTTACAGTAGAAATAATTGCTTGTTGACTGATACCAGACAAATACCATCCTCAATTAACATTCTCCGTGTCCACCAGCCATGATTTTTCCCTCCTCCTGTGTTTAGAAGAGTGCATCTTTTTGATTCTAAGCGGACGTAATGCTGAGGTACATTGAATTTGTTAATTAAGGTGACGAGTAAAAAAAGTTCAGAGTTGAGTTGTTTTGGTTGAGTGGTTGTACCACTGTCAGCTGCAGGTGCTCTTCAAACGATAGGGTCCCGAAAGAAAACAAAACCACTAACCAAAAACAAAGGCCAGATCTTGCTAAGTCTTGAAGGAGAACAGCCAGCATTCATCAGGATAGTAAATGAAACAGCCAGTATTCATACAGTTTATAAATGTGTACAGAAAGTTTACATTTGGCACACGGATAGATTTCATGTTTTGCTTTAAACAGCGCATTTCTGTACAGTGATATTGAATAATAATAATAATAATCTGTTAGTAGTAATATATTATTCCAGTCAATAATCATTATCATTCTATACCATTATTATTATTATTATTATCATTTCAATGAATGTATAAAAAACAAAGCAAAAATTAAGCGTTTTGGGATTTCCATGGCATAGAAATGTCCCTCTAAGACAATTTCCAGTACAACTCCTGTAAAAAGCATAGTAGATAAGAGAAAATCATAAGTACATTCCAACAGTAAGAAATTAGAACAACATTAATCTGATATGTCTTCAATAAAAAATGGTCCCATTGTGTGCTGTTAATGTTTAGGGATTGACCAAGGATGTTGTTATCCTAGACAAGGGGCTGAGCATTTCACACTTAAAAAAAGTCAGGCAGTAAAAGGGTAAAAAGAGAGGAGGGCATCTGTTTCAGCATACATAATCAATTGGGGAGCTTGTTTCACACACGGACATTTTATAATAGCTACATGTTGAAAAGAGAAATATAATTACATAAGGGCAGCAAGATTCACTGAGAAATGAACAAAACAAGGTCCAAAAACAGAATTTGCACTTAAAGTTTTTTTTTCCTTTTCTTCAGACAAAAACTAATCAACAACTGCGAGGAAAAAAACAGCAAAAACAAGAATGCAGAAGAAAAATGCAGCCATGGTCATTTAAAATCTCAATCAAGCCTTGCACAATCAATCAATAGGTAGTTTGCGAGTACAAGAAGTTTCTCATGCAAGATATCAATATCCTCTTCGGGGGCAAAAACAAGGAGGGGGTAAGTAAAGAATAACATAATTCCATGCATCTCTCGTCTTGAGTCAGTGTAGGTATGTCAAGAAATGAGGAGGAAGTGGGAAAGTGAAGAACGTGCATCAGCAGCTAGATATAAAATATTACCTCAGTTTCTCAAAAGATGCCATTAACGATATGTCCTCATTTGTCTCTCGTTCAGGTCGTGTGCCCTTTAGATTTTCAATCTGAGGGAATTTTGCACTGGTTTTGTGACGGTACATCTTTTTGTGCGCTGGCCCATTTATACCAGGAACGCCAAGGTTAGGCTTGTCAAACATGTTGCCGCCCAAAGCCAACTGAGGGAAAAAAGGCAAGGAGGCATTGAACTTTGCCTGCTTTTTGCCACCTTTCGTCCCACCTTTTCTGCCCTTTGTGCCCCCAGTAGCCGAATTGCCTTTCTTCTTGGGGTCGGATGAAGTTCCTGCTAGGATTTTGAGAGTCTTTAACTTAAGGTTGTTAGCCTCTGAGGGCAGGCAGATATTTGCTGTAGGGCCCCATATTGGCTCAACAGAGGCCATCATGAATCTCTGTACTTCGGCCATCCCTGAGACAATATTTGACAAGATGTTGGATGGCTCTTCAAACTCTCGCTGGTCATCGTGGACTTGACTTTTGCTCTCTGAACTACCTATTCCCGTCCATTCCTCAGATCCGCTGTCCTTCAGCAAATGAGCAATGCTCTCAGTCTGGCGTTTACCACCTTTCTCATCCAGTAAGGCCTTTAACTTTTTAGATGCTCGTGAAGTCTGACGTGGAATTTTGCCCTTCTCTGTTTTAGGAGCTCTTGGTGCTTTGCTTTTTTTGGTACCCTGCCCTGCAGTTTGTTTGTTGCTATTTTTCCTCTTTGACTTAGTCCCCTTGATTGCACTCATCATATTACCACCAAAGTCAGCTAGATTTTCCTCTTTTGTCCTCAGGCTTAAGTTGTCTTCGCCGTTAAAAATGTGCAATTGAAAATTGTGCCCATCTACTGAATATCTAGCCATATCTTGCTGCTCGATCATTTTGCAGTTCCAGTCCACATCTTTGGTGCATGGCATCTTAGCCCCAACCTGGAGGTCAGCAGCCTTCCCAGCTATTTTCATCTCACGGCCCATAACTTGAGGGGATAAATTAGGCGTCTCTGGGGGAGAGAGCTCTGACAATGATGTGTGTCTGAATTTATCCGGAGTGAAGTTGGAGATATCCAGCAAGTCTGTAGACTCCCTCAGGGGTGTGATTGCATCAATACTCTGCTGAATCACCAGTTTGGGACTGCAGTGGGCCAGAAAGTTCTCGTTCACATCATCCTCGCCATCCTTCTCGCAGGACTTAAGACTCTGAGAGCTGTAATTGCTAGAAGTAGCTGACAGCGAGCCAACTGAGTCGAAACTGATGAGCCGGCCGTTGTCGGTGTGCAGTGTGGCTCTTTGAAACTGTGGCTGCCCCTGACAAGCCTGAAACTCAGCGTCAGGACGCAAAGGCTGCTCAGGCATGTAATTCTTTTCATAAAGCATTCTGTTGCTCTCCAGACTCAGCTGGCTGTAGCCTGACATGGTCAGACTCTCAGACAACGGCATAGCCATCTCTCCAGTGAAGCTGCTGGGCTGGATCGCAGACTCAGCAATATCTGCAGCGGCGAACTGCTGGTTGGGACCAAGCTGGGGGTGCCACATCTGGGTGAGAGTCGGACAATTCTGGGGCGACTGCTGGAGCTCTGATTCTGATGGGGGAGAAAGGACACAGCTTTGCGCTAGCTGAATTGAGGTGAACTGCTGCTTTTCCAAAGAGAGGTCCAACGAGTGTTGGGTCTGCTGGGGGAAAAACTGGATACCGGTGCTACCTGAAGAGTCAGAGGCATCTAACAATGTTTGCAGGTAGCCACCCGGGATAACGGAAACACTTGGGGCCACATTCTCAGACGATGCATCTTTGTTAGGGGAGCAGGTGCTAGACACGAAAACTAATTTTTCAGTGGCATTAGCCGTTTGACTCTCACACAAACGGGGACTGTGTGCAGCTGGGCTGACGTTTTCATCTTCAGCACCTCCTACTGCGTCCATATTTTTCTGTAGCGAGCAAACTTCTGTCAGGTCTGTCACGCTCTCGCTATTCTCCACAAGGTCTCTCATTTTCTTGCTCTTAAGTCTGGCTTCACTTCTGAATTTCTGTATTCTGAATATTTTATTCCCTATTCTCCTTTCCTCCCTCTCTTGTGATCTGCTCTTCCGGGCTGCACTGTGTATGATGTCATTTGGGTCTAATGTGCTTGCACAGCTGGTGGCTATTGTTAATGGCATTCCCATGGAGGCAGCTTCATCTGTAGAAGCAACCTCCTGCCTGGGATCAGAGGCAAAGGGGCCCTGCTTGTTGGGTGATTGCTCCACAGTTTGAATTCTCCGAATTCTGAGCCTGTGTGCTAGCTTGTGTTTCCTTTTGGGGGGACTGGAACTAAAGGCATGGTGGTGAGAATTGTGTTTATCTCCTGCTGCCAGCTTAAGCTGTTCCTCTCTTTCTCTCTGTTTCTCCTGCCAGAAATCTTTCAGAGGTGCGAGCTTCTCATATTTGTTGATTGTATCCTCATTTAAGCTTACAGTCGTGTCATCTGAATCAATTCTGCCCAGCTTCACAGCCATGCATTTCTCTCCTTTGAACCTGTTGACGATAATGTATTTGATTATTACAGGTGGATCCTTGCGAGAGTATTTTTGTCTCTTTTTAGGGCACCAGTCAAGATCCTTTTCTTGCTTTGGACCAATCGGTGGTTTCTCTCGCTTTTCAACATTTCTTTCTCCTTCGGTGGACTCGACATAATACAAGTAGTCATCACTATACCTAACTTTTCTCTTATCCCGCAATCCGTAGTTCATATGGTTGGAGCAGCTTGCGTTCTTACGTGAGAACAAGTGTTTGGGCCTGTTGTCTTGGAAAGTGTCAAAAGAGGAAACGGTGGAGGAGCTGTCATCACTATGCTCCCCTGAGTCATCAGCAGAGTTGCTTGAATCAATAATGTAGTTTATTTTGGGGCTGTAATCAGGTGTCTGCTCTACGGAGCAGTCATTTCCATCCCCTTTGCTGTCACTTTGAAATCCGAGCTCCTCTGATTTAGGTGGTAGCTCATCTGCGACTCGCTTTACCACACCAGCCTCTTTCTTGGTACAATTCACCAGGACGCTTGGGAAAAAGTTGAACTGGGTTTCTTCTTGGAGAACATTGGTTTTCTCCCTCATGTTGTCCTGGAAGGACTCGTAGCGGATCTTTAACGAGCACACATCACTGCTCAGAGTGGAGTCATCATCGTCATCAAACATGTAATTGTCCACGTCCTCCTCAGAGAATAGATTTACGGAGAGCTCATTCTTGGAGCAGAGATCCAGCAATTCTATCTTACTCTCGCTAATGAAGGACTCGAAGTAGCCCCAGTCCTGATTTGAATTAATAAGCAAACCATCCTCTCCGTTGCACTTGTCTAACAGCAGGCCCTCGTACAGGTTTTTGGAGGCCGAATCATCTAAGTCTGTTTTCTCCGTGTCCTTCTTCTCAACTAGTTGAGTTTTGGGGACAGGAAAGCTCAAAAGCTGATCTGAGAGGAGCTGGTCTCCGTAACTTCCCGTCTCACTTGTGCTCATGCATTGCATGTTAATATCAGAGATGGGGCAGGTGCTGTAGTCTCGGCTCATGTCAGCCATTTTGAGGTTGATGCTGGCCTCTACATTGGACATATCCTTGGTCTCAATGAAGCAGCTGGGACAGGTGTGACTCTGCTGAATCAAACAGTCCTGTGTGAGCCCAGGAATGCTCGCAGGTTCGATCATAGTGAAATGGCACTGGTTGTGTTTTTCTTGGTAAGGCCCAGGGGGCTCAAGCCCTTGGTAGCACAGGGTGTGAGGGATATCGTGTAGTTTGAAGACTCATCAGTCGGGTGATACTCTTAAGGAGTTTGTGTTGACAGTGGCCGTGGTAAGTGGTGCTTCTTTAAGGCCAATTTAGCACTGAGGCAGAGCAAATCGTCTCTCTTTGTGCTCACTGCAGCAGCTCTGGAGGATGTGTGTAAGGCAGCATCTGCGACACCATTCAGCTTTGTGGCCACATACAGCTTTAGATTACTCTTCAGATTATGTAAACCTAGGCGAAGAAAAACAAGCACAATATTAACAGTTTATAATATTATTAAATACTACAACTCAATATATATACAGTATATATATATATATATATATATATATATATATATATATACACACACACAGTATCATATAAGTTTATATAATTTTTTTTTTTTTTTCATTCAATTATGTATGGTTTTAGTTAACAATAATAACTCTCATATAGAATAGATTTTCTATCTGTTTTCGGAAGAGAGGCATTCACATTAATATATATATATATATTTAAAAAAATTAAAAGGAAAAAATTCCACTGACTCATGACTCTTTTGATCGGCCGCCAGTTATCAGTTATTATTTTACACCTTCGCTTGCCACTAAAAGGTTCGTAATAAAATTTTTTATTATTATTAAATAATATAAATAAATATATATATAATATATATATATATATATATATATATATATATATATATATACACACACACAGTATCATATAAGATTATATAATCTTTTTTTTTTAATCATGCAATTTATTAACAAAGTACATAGGATGAGCTTTTTTCCTTTTTAAAGTCAACAGTTAATAATAAAAATAACAGAAAAAAATAGCACTGTATTAGAGATATGAGGCTAGTTTATACAGAGAGACTGGTTTGCTTGTTTTGACTAATTAGTTTTAGCTTAAGCAGAAAAAGTACAAACTCAAGGGAACAGTCAGACCAGTATGTTGGAAACAATATAACCACCACTATATCCAACTGCCGGTTTCACCATTGTCCAAGCTGTTAAAATAAAACAGATATGAAAATACTCGTCTGCAACATTCAGAACAAGGACCTTTTAAAAAAGACCATTACAAAAATATGATTTTGAGCACTTTGTGCTCACTTGAGGTACAAATGATTAAGTTCTGAAGTGTGCTTCCCAAGACTCCTCTACCTGTAAAGGGCAAACTAGGCCTATTTCTTTTCCACTAATTATACTTGTACTGTTTATTATTTTGTAAAATTATGCAAATGGTTTTTAATTGTAGTTTAGGGATTTCAAGTTTCAATGTGCTTCTACTCTTCAGAAACAGGTTTACAAAGACCTGTTTGGACCTCACAAAATAAGTACTTGTAGATGTGAAAACTCTTTAATCAAGGGCTCTTTATGCCGCAGGCACCTGTGCTGTTAAAATATCCCATCTGTAGAGTTGAGAAGTATTTAAAAAAAACAAAAACAAAAAAAAAACTCTAACTGATTTTCATGACTTTTGAATTTGTTACCAGTTCTGGAACATCTGCATTCTTCTGTCGTTGCAGACTGAACACCATATTGATAATATATCATTTGTCACGAGGATCAATGCAGTGTTCTGTCTGTGTAACAAACTATGGTGTCTGATGTTCCTTGTTTCCCATCAACAAAACATCTGTTTTGTGGCATATATGCCACTTTTATTATTTTTCCACATAAAGACAGAAAATCTGTTAGATGCAATAAATGTGGATGTAAAAAGTGTTGAAATAATTATAATAAATCTGATTTAATACAGGCTGCTGATGCAGTAAATACAATAAGAATTGTCTTCCAAGCATTGTTCATTTATGTTCCTCAAAAGTACTAAATTACTCATTAATAGAATCTTTAAGGAATTGTTCAATTAAACTACAATCAGAACAACTAAAACTGGAATCAGTACATTCCCTGAACGTCTAAACAGTTGATTGCATCATGCAGTTGCAGCTTGTAACTTCAAGGTGATATTTCTATTTTATTTGACGCTTCAAGTTCGGTTTTAAATAATGATTAAATCAACAAGCTGTTAATACAGAAGATACTATGACGCACATTTAGGTTAGCTGAGAACCTAAACAGTGGCGTTAACTTTTGAAATTCTATTAGAATCTAATTAAAGTAATACAGAACAGGTCAATATAATATAATATAATATATAATATATGTCACGATGCGGTGAGGATGAAGCACACAGTGCCAGGATAATCCAGAAGTGAGTCTTTAATTATCTAACCAAGAGTTAAACAGAAGAACAAAGGAGTAAAACACCACAACGTAACTTCAAAGCAAGACAAATGGACTGAGGAAAACACAGGGTATATAAACACATGGAACGTAATTAGGGAGAACTGAAACAGGTGAGGAGTAATCAATCAAAACAGGTGAACAGAATATACGATGATTAAGTAAATGAGAACAGGAACTGAACCAAATAGGGGCAAACAGGAACTAAACAGAAACAAACACGTGACTATAATATAATATAATATAATATAATAAGCTAATTTCAGCACTTAAACTTAGTTCTATTATTAGGGGTGCACAAAAGTTTTTCATCACCCGGAGATTTGGTTTGGTGCTCACACTGCATATAGTGTGGCCTATTAAATGTAACCATATAAAATAAAATAATTAATAATAGTAATAATAATATTATTGCATGTTATTTAGTTAGTTTTTTTAAAATAAAACTGTAATAATACTATAAATATTTTAAAATAAAAAGTGAGTATTGCATAAAAACATTTTATATACATTTATACACCTGCGGTTAGGGTTAGGGTTAGCCTAACCCTAACCCTACACTTATGTGCACCCCTCTCTGTTATATTATTTCAAGAAACGTTTCATATTCTACTCTAAAGCAACACTAATTTTGTAGACCCGAACACTGCAATTATTTATCATTCACTATAATACAATCACATGGCAGGTGTGACATCTGAACGTGCACAGCTTACAGACAACACTGATCATGATTATGTGCTGTAGACTTGCATGGTGCTAACTAAGCTAACCAACTGGTTCTGACATCGGATGGAAAAGTTCATTTTCCCTTGTTATGAAATGTCAGGGATTTTACCCATCAACCAGCACGTATGAAGCATAATTGAGGAATCTCTGAGGATTCGCTGTGAATCAGATGTGTGAAATGTTGTTATCCTCTTCTAGGATAATGTATCGGCTCAGTTGACAACTGACTGGATCACATAAATCCACAGGGAAGTACAGGAGAGCATATGGACTTTTGGCAGGTGTCAGAGCCCTGGTACACCTAACCTCTGCCAGACTCGCTCAGCATCCTCTGCCTTTGCTGTAGCGTTACGTCTGGGGTTTACTTACACTAGAGAAGTGGGAAAAATATGCCCAAATGGGATTCCTGTTTACCGAAGCTTCAGCTCTTGGGTGCTGCATTATCCGCACATGTGGCCTTGAGCTCCACACATCCCTCAATAACTACATTACTGTAAGAGGAACACAGATGGTGAAATTGGATCATGAATATGATTATGAGCCAGTTTTGCTTTTCAAATATGACAGCCACAGCCATCTTGGACATCTTTTGAGGAAGAATTGTCGATGAGATGTCAACGACTCTGACTGTCACGGTCTACAATGACAGATTTGATGATGACACGATGTTAATTTGGGCTTAACGATTCCTTTAACGTGCGCTGCGATGCGCTCTGACCGTCGCACACAAAAACAGAAAGAGCCTTTTTTGCAAGCTCTGATCTCACTGCGTTACACAATATTCAGAGTCAGAGAGCACAGGTTTTTATCAGCCCGCTGGGACAAAACCATATTTACTGTCTGCTACAATGAGCACCTTTGAGGACGAACTAGTTGCTAGACTTGACAAAGATGTTCAAGAGTTTTGTTTGCACATGATATCCTCAAGGCCAGCGGTTTATTGCTTTGTTTTCAGAGTTATGACTGTGAACTAATCGATTCTTATTACTTCTGAATGGAAGGTTGGTCTTATTATTAGAACATACTGAGAGCAAACTCATTACATGTTATGGCAACTGCTCTATGCGGACTCAGAAAGCACTGCAGTACAGACCATCACTTCTAGACATCTACCACAAGACGCTCAGCATCATCACAGAGCATTCCTACTGTCCACCATCCAACCATTATCTCCTGATACCACTGCCATCTAACAGATCCAGGACCAGCAGACTCCCCACAACCCACCTGACACCATGACATCTCCTCATTATCTGAAAATCACTTCCCATCCACTCCACTGTTCCCAAAACATTGTCTTCACGCATGCTATACATGATCACCTGCACTGCAAAGACATTACAATAAAGAACTTGATTTGGCTTGTGTGTGATTGATAGTTTTATACAATAGCATCTTCCTGTGAGTGAGTTATTGACTTCAATAAACACCTGGGGTCTCATTTATAAAACTCTCCGTAGATTTAATCCTAAAACTGTACGTATGCACAAAAGCTAGATTTCCATATGCACAAATGTTGGCAAGAACCTGCGACAAAATCCCGTTATAAATCCCAGTCAGGGGAAGATTGTGCGTACATGCATCTCCACCCGACTCCTCCCAGAAATAACCATATATGGAGCTTACAACACCTAGTTTTACTATGCATAACCTCATCTGCATATAATTTCCATGCATATTCATCCACGTGACACCATGTTTAACACCGTCAAAGGTACAAGACATCAAGGAAATATGAGATATGGACTATAAATGCCATTTGTGCCATACACGTTAATTTTTATTGCTAAAAATCATCCAGTATCCTTGTTATGTTTTAGAATAAATATATCAAAATATCTATAAAAACTAAATATTTTATAATAGAGTTGATGCCATTCATTTTCAATGGGCAAATAGTATTTCAATTGTTTTAAACTATTCAAATCAAATTAAATTAGAGAAACAGATATAGGCCTATATTTATTGCAGTGTAAATACAATTATCTGACTCGGTGTGTCACTGACAAAGAAAACGTGCAAATCTTAAGAGTTTTCTTCAAGTTGTATCCTTCAGATACACTTGTATTTTTCATAATGTTGTGGAGATGCCTTCACACGACATTAACACTTCCGGGCAGCTGTGGCTGTACAGTAAGCTATTATCATTGGTCCTATTCAAACCGGACAATAGACCGTTCCACTGAATCCAGCAGTCTGCCATAAGTGCGCATCATTATTCTTGCTAAAAAATGTTTTCTCATAACATGAGATCTGCAGTTA